CTGGAAGGGAAGCGGGGCTGCCGGGATTAGAACCGGCGCCCATATGGGATCCCGGGCGTGCAAGGCGAGGACCTTTAACCACTTGCGCCACCGCGCCGGGCCCAAAATAAAATCTTAAAAAAAAAAAACTGATAGGGAAAATCAGGTAAGGAATTGGCTATGAGGAGAGGATGTGGCCAGGTGGCTTCCTGTATGCAGGTGGATGAGAATATTGGGCTGTTGGTGCTGCCCTGAGCTCACTCACGGTCATCCTGAGTGCGTGCAGGGGCCATTCAGTGCGGGACAGTAAGAATCGGTGTGATCCTGCTACTGTCTATTGAGCTGGAGCTCACAGAGTGTACAGTTCACCTGTTTCAAGAGTAAAATTCACTGAGTTTCAGTTTGCTGGCAGGTATATGCAATCAGTGCTACACCTTTAGAACATTTTATCATCTCAAGAAGAAATCTGTTCCCTTTAAATTTTCACCTCCCTTCTTTTCATTGATTTTTCTATCAGAAGAGATGTGAATCTAAATTTAGAATTGTATAATGATTCCAAAGAAGGGCATGACCTGACGTGTATGGTAGGTCACTGCAGGCTCGAGAGGCAAAGGAGGCCGAGACTTTGCACATAGAAATTCATGGTATAAAATCAAAAGAGAACGCATTCAAAGACCTGTTGTCACATTTTCTCTGTCACAGGGAGTTGTCTGAGAGATAAAAATTAATGAAATAGGGCTGCAAATGCAACAGAATAGATTATAAGAGAACAACTTATTCTTCATAAATAAATGACTTTCTCCTGGGCCAGAAAAATAGGACCATGTGAACTACTTAAAATGTGCCTGTGAGATGATGAATGGCCATGAGAAAGCTTTAAGGAACTACAGAGAATAGTCCACACTGGCCAGTTGGGAGTGTAAAGGGCTGCCTCGTGTAGATCCCAAGTAAGGTTGGATGATGTCACTGCAAGCTGATGTGAGCATTTCAGCAAGAACGGTGGGTAGGGGAAATGAGCACAGTAAAAAGGTTATGGCAGGCTCAGCTCATTTGATTTTCTTGTAACTGGGAAATGTGGAAGACTAGTATGTTTTTATTTTTATTAAGATATTTGACAAGAAACCTTTGGAATATGATTTGAAAGGTGCATGTGTCTGATGAGGCAGCCATGTGCTGAGATTGCTGGTAGATATCCACCAAAAGCGAGGCATGGGGGTGCAAAACCAGGCGATTTCCTTCTGTGGCAGTGTTTCCATCCTTGCAGGAAGTAGGTAGGCAAGCTCTGGGAAGCATATACATGAAATTTTCAGATAACACAAATCCAAGTACAGTAGTTGCTACACTGGATGCCCTTCAGAATTCACAAATACTTCCAAATCTTGAATGATGGAAGCTTAACTAGTGAGAAGAGTTGAAGTCTTCATTTTAGTATCCTTCATTCCAGTTTAGGAGCAATTTAGGAGAACTCTGACTTTAGCAAGCTATACTTCTGAAAGTCAGAGGGGTTTAGTTGATGCTAAGCGCTCTGTGAGTCAGTTATGACACCACTGCCGAAGTTTGGGAAAGTGCCGTGAGACTGGGACTTGGGCTGACAGCTGTTCAGGGTAGGGTTAGAACATAGCTCCGCCATACTTGGAGAATTCTAGAAGTAAACAGGGTTTTTAAAAAAGACAAAGAGACAGGCATACTGCTTCTACTGGAGCCTGTACCTGGAAGAGATGTTGAAATACTGCGATCTGCGGAGCCTGTCTAGGACTGGCAGACTGTGGGAGGCAACATTGGCTTCCTTATAAAATTGTCTGACAGCCATCAGATTCTGAAATCCACTAATTCTGCCTCACTGGCCAGTGGACATACTTAAGGTGAGCAATGCGGTCCTTGAAGAAGGCTGTTAAGGGGATTGTTTACCGTTGGAATGCTGATGTTCTGGGAATCTGTGCGAAATGATCTTACAGAAATACGTTTCTGGCCAAAGATGTGTATGTGAGTTTTTCACAGCATTTTTTTTTTTTTTCTGTCTCTCCTCTCTGTATATCTGCCTTTCCAATCAAAAAATAATATTATATTATATTAGATATTATATTATAAATAAATATTTATAATATTATAAATATTATAGATAATATTATATTATTATAAATAAATATATTATATTTATATAATATAATATAATATATAATATAATATTATTATATTATTATAAATAAATATATTTATATTATATAATATAATATATAATATAATATTATATTATTTTTTGATTGGAAAGGCAGAGATACAGAGAGGAGAGACAGAGAGGAAGATCTTCCGTCCGATGATTCACTCCCCAAGTGAACGCAACGGGCCGATACTATGCCGATCTGAAGCCAGGAGCCTCTTCCGGGTCTCCCACGCGGGTGCAGGTTCCCAAGGCTTTGGGCCGTCCTCGACTGCTTTCCCAGGCCACAGGCAGGGAGCTGGAAGGGAAGCGGGGCTGCCGGGATTAGAACCGGCGCCCATATGGGATCCCGGGCGTGCAAGGCGAGGACCTTTAACCACTTGCGCCACCGCGCCGGGCCCAGCATTTATTTTTTAAATGTCTCTAACATATCATGTGTCTCCTTTGTTATAACAAACTCATAATTTTATGGGTGTTGAAGGGTTTTGTTTGTTTGTTGAGTTAGTTGGTTTTTCAATTATTGCTTTAGGGCTTATAGCCCCTTAACTTCAAGAATGTACATCTTCACTTTCCGGAACCTCCCTTTAATGACGTTTGAGCTGTTGTTGCCATTCACATGCTATATAGCCCTAGAACATGTTGTTATTTTAATTTTAGCCATTTCTCTCTTAAAGAACCTAATGGAGTTGACATTGTGGCATAAATAAAGTAAGTCTGCAACCCTGGCATCCCGTAAGAGCACCTGTTTAGGTCTCTGCTGCTCCACTTCCTATCAAGCTCCCTGCTGATGTGTCTAGGAAAATAGCAGAAGATGGCCCAAGTGCTTGGGTACTTGCCACCTCCATGGGAGACTTGGAGGAAGTTCTGACCGTGGCTTCGAACCAGCCCTACTGCAATGTTGCAACCTGGGGAGTAGACCAGAAGATGAACAGTCTTTGTCTCTCTCTATCAAATGCTTTTCAAATAAGTAAATAAATTTGTTATGCTACTTATGACTAACTCCAGAGCACTTCATGCAGATTTTCATCTTGAGTCATTTTCTTTTCCTTCTGCCAGAAGAACTTTGTTCTTTTTTTATTGGAAAGGCAGATCAGATTTACAGAGAGAAAGAGAGATAGAAAGAAAGATCTTCCATCTGATGATTCTCTGCTCAAGTGGCTACAACAGCTGAAGCTGAGCTGATCTGAAGCCAGGAGCTTCTTCTGGATCTGCCACATAGGTCCAGGGTCCCAAGGATTTGGGCTGTCCTCCACTCTTTCCCAGGCCACAAGCAGGGAGCTGGATGGGAAACGGGGCTTGTCGGGATTAAAACCGGTGGCCAAATGGGATCCCGGCATGTGCAGAGCCCGGCCAGTAGAACTTTGACAAACATTTATCATATTGAAAGTCTATTGAGGATAAAAATGTTTCTGTGTCTCTATATTTCATCATTTTTGAAAGATGTTTTTGCTGCATATGAAATTCTAGAATGACTGCTAGTCAACCCCCCCCCCCCCCCCGGCAAAGTGCTTTTGACTTTGACCTTTTCTGCCGAGAAGTTTGTGGTTTTAATCTGTAATGGCTACTTAAATTTTTTCTTTTTTATTGAATTTTAAATAATTTGACCTTCTTTTTCTGACTCTGTGGAGTTTTAGTTGTATCAAGCTTGGAAGCACTGGCTAGTGTGCCTCCAGATGTGTAGTGTGCACTTCGCCTGCAGGGCCTGCGCTTCCACTGCTGACGCTGCTCAAGGCCGCCCTGCCGCCCAGCCATGTGCTCTCTGTTTCCCTCTGTGTTGCTTTGTGGGTAGCTTTCACTGTTCTGTCTTAACTTCCTGCTTTCTGCCTCGTCTGAGCTCCTATGAATCCTGTTCAGGCTGCTTTTCACCTCAGGCGTTGGCGTTATTATTCCTGAGTGTTGGATTTGGCCGTCTTCTGTAGTGTGCTCGGAGTGTCTTGAACATATTGATGGTTGTTGTAACTGTCCTTCTTTAGTAAATCTTCCACTTGTCATTTCCAAGGTTGTTTCTTTTGATTAGTTCTCCCCATTATTGGTGGTATTTTCCATTTTGGATCCTGTCTGCCTGATGCTTCTTGACTAGGAGGCTTTCCATCCACTCCAGTGATGAGATGAGCATCACCCACAGCCTGTGTGGGTGCTCTGGGGCTGGCTCGAGCCTGAGCAGCTCTCTGTGCGAGGCTCTGCTGAGCGGACACTCAGAGGTGCCCTCCTGCTTGCCGGCCCTGTCTGCTGACCTCCCCTGCATTGCTGAGGCTCGCAGTCACTTGGGGCCTTGCTGAGGTTTCCCTCATTTGTTTGCCTTCTCTTGGGGATTGCTGGCCTGTGCTCCCTGGAGTCTAGTGTTTTGCAGAACTTTCTAGTCTTTGTCAAGGAGGTCAGTAAAGTTGGTCCCTGTTCCTCCATCTTGGCCTGAGGTGGAGGTTCTTTGCTGGCGTTTTGCTTGTTGCTAATGCCTTTGTCAGTTTCATTTTCAGCTGCGGCCTCCTCACTCCCTCCTGACCTTGCCCTACTCCTTCATCCTTTTATCCTTGGTTTTTGCTGGTCCTTCTCTCTGATGCTCCACTCAGGCACCTCCTCCCTGTTTGCCACTTGAGAAGGCCTGGCCCTCTCCTCCCCTTTCTCAGCCCCCCATGTGAATGGGGTTTTCTGTGTCCCAGAGCACATGTCATGCTTCGCTGGTGTTCCCATGGAGCGTGCGGGTCGATCTGCACTTGCACAGTGTTCACTCCAGAGGGCAGGGAAAAAGTCCCCTCCACCCCCCACCCCCATGCTCAGAGAAGTTACTTAACAAGTGTATATTAGATGTTTGTTTAAATGATATGTTTTTTTTTTCCTCTTCTCCAATCCCTGCCCCCAAAATCAGGCTACAGAAGAAGTTTCCAAAAATCTGGTTGCCATGAAAGAAATTCTGTATGGCACAAATGAAAAAGAACCGCAGACAGAAGCAGTGGCACAGCTGGCACAAGAGCTATATAATAGTGGACTCCTTAGCACCCTGGTAGCTGATTTACAGCTCATTGACTTTGAGGTAAGAAATCGGTTCTTATTTTTCAGAAACAGCACCCTGTTCAAAGTCTTTTTCTGTATGTTCTCTCCTTTGGAGCATCTTAAGACTCCTGCTGGGCTCTTGGCTCCAGGGTTCCTGACTCTCTAAGTGTGCCAAAGCACCCACCTCATTAGCAGATTACAGTAGGAACCCAAGGCCCAGGCCAGCTTCTCTCTGCTTGGCCTCATTGTGGGCCAAGATTCTTATGTGTTCATCATGGTGCCCTTTCATTTAGGTTGTGTCTAATAAACAGTTGTTATTCAGAGTACCATAGTGGATTATATAACTCAGTGATCCTTGCCTTTCAAAGAATGAGCAACCAGAAGACTATAGAATATTAGAATTCCAGAGATTGATAAGGTTTTAGAAAAGACTACGTTTGTCTCTCTTTGAGACACTCATTACAGCAGAGATCATAAGTGTTTGTTCAGTACTGGTTTTAAATCTCTTAATTCACGTAACTGAAGTAGCAGAGGATTTAATATGCAATTCTGACTTGTGGGAAGTTTAGCAGTGTTGGACCTATAGTCTTAGTAGGTCCCTCCCCTAGAATGAACAGCTACATGGGGTTCCCCTCCAGGTTGGCTGTGGATAATATGGCTGGCATTTCTGTCTTGGAGCATGTTTTACCCGTTTGTATCTCCCACCAGACCCTGGTTAGCATTTGAGGTTGTGGCCCAAGCTGGTACAGCTGGATTGTGAACAGTCAAATCAATGGTCCTTAATACCAGCCTGAGCAAACTAGTCTGAGAAGTATATATGGCAGTGAAATACCATGGCATGATCATGAGCAGTCTCCACTTTGACTTTTTCTTCGAAGTGTGGTTGGTCCCAAGAGATGAGATTTCTGTGCAGGCACCTACAAGGCAGATGGGTTTGTTCCAAGGGAGAATCTGCAGGGACAAAGTCAAATTAAATGCTGGAGGAGGATGAGAGGTATTGGTGTTAAGATTATGTGAATGTAATATGGATAATAAAACTATAAAAATGTCTTTCTCACAGTAGAGCAAAGAGCTAAGGCATTTCCATTTGTTTAGCTGATCTCGTGTATTTTTAATGATGTACCAAATTCCAGCAACAATCATTTTTATTGTTGGAGATGCACTGGAACATCTAGTTCCTTCTTTGTCTCCACTTATCCCACTCCTCAACCTGGACACAGAATTGGATATTCATTTAGGACTTTAGGGACATCAGTTGATTCCTAGAGATCGCTGTTGCTGCCCCTTAGCTCGCACAGACCCCAGGATATTCCCTGTGTGTACTTGATAGGGCCTGGGAAAGCTAGTGTTTCACACACTCACCCATGGGTTTGTCGGCCTTGGAACAAGTGGCTGTCCTGAAACCCTTTTTGGGCTGCAGTTCTCCTTTTGTGAATTTCTGGTGTAGCTTTCTGATTGTAAAGTTCACAAGATGATGATAAATATCTATTTGTTTTGTACAATGGTGTCATAATTATAGGTTTTGATCTCTGCACTACTACGCTTTTTAAATCTGTACTGTCTTTTCTAAGTGGATCTTATTTAACAGGGGATATGTCTATTTGATGTTATGTTTCTTACACGATTATTTCATTTTGAGTATACTGACAGAGAAGTGTCCCTCCTCCATCCCCGTGAAAGGAAAATGTGTAAGCTGCGCACAACGCAGGCATTCCTTCTGCAGCTGCTGCCCAGTTGGGTGGGATTAGGTCCCTGCAGGTTGGAAGCAGTTTGGCTCTTCATCTCTAAGTCATCCTGATTCCGGGGGTTAGAAATGATCGAAATGGTATGTGGAATGTAGTGAGGTTTCAGTGCCAACACATTGCTCATGTTAAAAACAGTATACCGTGAAAACTTGGAATCTGGGATTCAAAATGAAACAATAAAATAAGAAGATATATTAATATATTTTAATTCAGATATTCAGTCATATGAATACATAGTGTCTATTTGAGTTTATTTGGGAGGGTGGATGGGCATTTTAATGTTTAGTCAGGTAAATATTTTAATGATTGTATTCCTAATAGGGCAAAAAAGACGTGGCTCAAATTTTCAACAATATTCTCAGAAGACAAATTGGCACAAGAACTCCTACTGTTGAATACATCTGCACCCAACAGAATATTTTGTTCATGTTATTGAAAGGGTATGTACAACATAATAAAATTTATATTCTTAGTTGAAAATAAAAAAGGAAGCTTCACCTCGGGAGAAAGCAGGATGGTGACTGTGGGAAGCATGTTCTCTGCAGTTTAGTCAGCTCGTTCTCCACGGGTCTTGGACATATTTCCCTCTGTACAAGTCAATCTGCGTGCTACACCTAGTTTGACAATACCCCCCCTAAACATGGGAGTATAAAATTCAGTGACTAGTGAGACTTCAAGTTCATAAATCCGACATGTCCAAAGTAAAAGATGAGCTTTCTGTGGTTGTCTTTTTGCTTTCTGAGATGAAGAAAGTTGGATTCCATTGAAACACAGGTTGGCATTGAGCACTCCTCCCCTTGGGTGTGCTGGGCACCTGGCATGGCTGGGAAGCTGCCTTGTCAGGGGGACGTGGGTGCTGTGGGGCTTCACTCTTCCCACAGGGCGTGTTTGTGATGTAGTGTCTTTAGTTCTTGCCTGTGTCCTCTCACTAACCCGTGTGCTTTAGGGAGTAACAGTGCATCTCCTGGGAATTACTGCAGCACTAAGCAGGCATTTGTGTTTAGTTAGACTCTCAGCTTCAGAAAGCAAACACACCCCCAAATTCCTAAAAACTGAAACTTTTTTAAAAAGCAAAAAGCACAAATTCCCTTCTCCTTGAGTACCGAGGTTCCAGCTCTGCCTAGCAAGGTCCCTCCCGTTGTTTGGCCCTGGGCATGCTTGCCAGCCCCCCGATGAAGTACATGTGTTTGTCCGGGTCTGGTGCTGTCTGTTCACTGGGCGGGCAGGCGTGTTACTGACATGACTGGTGGCGTGAAGCAGCTTGCTATCCTAGCCCAGCTTTCTAGCTTGCCTCACTGATTCATATCTCTGGTTTAACACTTCCCCCAAGTTCAAACTTGTTTAGACAAAGCATGAGTCAGTGTGTGTATTGCATGCCAGCATTCTGTTTCCTTCTTTCTATTTCTGACCATCCCTGTTGCTTCTTCAGATGTCGCCATACAGAACTTTTGGCTTCTGATTTTGTGTTTTTATCAATCTAGAGCTGAGAGTGTAAACATGTAGTGAGTAGCCTGAAATTTTGATGTTAGAGCTGCTTCCAGATGCCTTTGTGTATTTTTTATTTCCTTTTCCATAGAAACTAGTGATTGTTAAAATCCATAAATAACTGGTTAACTCTCCCTGTGTTTTCATTTCAGAATAGCCAAGGGTATGTCATGAATGTTGTTAAACATTGAGTAACTTAAAAGGGATTTAGAGGTGCAATTTCAAATTTAAAGCTCTCCTCTAAACTGGTTAAAGTGGAAACCTTAGCCAAGGGAAAGGAGAAGCAAGAGAAAGGGACTCGTGTTGGGATCCACCAGAATCCATCCCACCCTTTGCTGAGGGAACTGCGTGTGCCGCTGGATGAAATAATACCTTAACAGGCTAGCCCCCCACACTCTGCAACCAGATAGTACTAGTGCGCCCCCATTCGGGCTTCCTCTTCCTTGCCTCCTGCTCACATGCGGTATCACTTAGTAAACAACCCAGCACATAACACACAGCACAGCATAGCACATATAGCGTGGCACTGCACGCATGCCATGGTGTAGCGTGCCAACACGACATCACATAGCCACACGACATAGCCACGGCACTGTTTACAAACCTCACACCTAATGCCTGATTCCCTGGTTTTCACAAAAATGTCATTTTACAGTTAGTTTGTTTTAAATCAGGTTCCAAACACGGTCCATAAACTGAATTTAGTTGACATAACTTTTAGCTCTCTTTTAATTTATAATGATTCCTTTTTAAAAAGATGCCATTAATTTGCTTAACCGAGTCGTTTCTTTTGTACAAAAATCACATAGTTTAGATTTATATTTCTGTGGCTTTAGCTAACTTGCCCCACTGTAAGTTGATGGTTTGGTAAGAGTCACAATCCCTTTGGTGACACGAGTTCTTCTCTATGGGTGATGCATGTACTTCCTGTTGAGTGGCACTGTTTGTCCTGCTAGTGCCATTGGGATTGCCCAGCAGATACTGGTGGTGGTATCTGTAATCTGCCCAGCCTAAAGTTCTCCATCAGCCTTTTGCCTCATGGCTTTCGTGGCTTCTAAAGGTTGTTGCCTAGATTCAAGTGGCATTTTCCTGATCTGTTCCTTGTCCATATAGTTAAATGTGTTCTTCTAGGGAAAAGCATTTCCTTATTGATGGCCTAGTTATCCCAAAATACTATCTGCAAGACAGGTATTATGTTTTTAGTATCATCGTTTGGTATCCTGACCACTTCCTTAGATATACACTGAAGTCTTTTAAGCGTTGGTGCACATGCAGGTTTTGTTGTCCGAGGACTAAGGTATCTGGCAAGTCTCGGTGCCTTGCAGTCTTTACTTCCTATGTCCAGATTACCCCGGCTCGGGCCCTTGGCGCCTCTTGCCGTTTGCTCTGTGTGCTTTTCAGCAGGCCCCACAAGTCTGGAAGCATGTGCACAGCTCCTGCCAGACCTGGAAACAGCCATTTCTTCAAGGCACCCTTGCCCTGTTTAAGATGTTTGTACTTTTGTAGATTCATGACTTTAGACCACCTCCATACAAGTGTGATCATCTTCTGAGACCAACAAAGGTACCTTAATGCTCAGGACTTTGGGGCAGTACACCACTCGTCACAGTCTGGACTCTGGCTGCCAGTGTTGTTCTGCAACCAGGTCTTGTTGCTGGCAGTTTACATGTTAATACACTCTCCGCTGTAGTGCTAACAGGTTGTACAGCAGAACTGTTTGCTTTGTACTCACTGGTTTATGGTTTAATCATTTCAACAAGCCTGACAAACCTCCGTCAATACCTGCCCAACTTGTTAGACCAAACTCTTGTACCCTTGTCCTTCCCCTCCTGCCTCTTGAAGATCAGAAGGATGAAGTGTGCAGTCAGCCAGCTTGGGGACAGGCGTTCTGATTGGCCAGAGCAAGTTAGCATGCCAGCTGCCATGCCACCATCGTACAGAAGAGTGTTGTGTGATCCTGGTAAAAAGCTATGGAAGTTTAGTGCAACAGAAGGATAAAACTAACCAGATACGAAATGACTGCTCGAAGATGTCAGAGGCTAAATGTAGATGAGTGAATAAAGCCCAGGCAGGTCCAGGGAGCGGGCCCTAAGGTGGGAGTGTGTATAGACAGAAGAAAGAGAAGAGGCTTCCTGCCAGCGTGCCCTCAGGAGCAGAGGCAGAGGAGCGGCAGTGGCCGTGGCAGGAGGTGACCACAAGGAGATTATCTGAGAGCTTCATAGCCTGGTGGTCCTGGCAGAAGCACAAAGGGGTGGACCGGGTAGTAAGCCCAGATATTTGTCCTTATTTGGTTAGCAAGAAATAATTTTAAGCTTCTCAACTGGGCATACTGTTGGTATACTTAGGAGTTGGTATGTTTGTTAAAAGAGAACTTGAACAAACAAAGGTGTTGGTTGGGATGCATTCGCAAATTTCCAGGAGTAAGGTACTGTGGCATTGGGAGTGGATACATGGAAGTGAAACCAAGATGTTTCAAAGAAACATTACAAAGGTCTGGTATTAAGCCGTGACAATGAGAAGGAAGAGTTTAAAACCATGCTCATAAAACAACTACTAATCATGTGCAATTAGTTTTAAATTAATTTACGTTAAATAATATTTAAATTCAGTCTCTTAATAGCAAGGGTCACATTTCAAGGTCTCAGTAGTTAAGTTCACATGGCTGGCTAGTGCTTACTGGAATGGGAAGTGCAGGTGTAGGCTGTTTCCACCACCACAGATTTCTGCTCAGGTAAGATCTGAGTGTCAAAAAAAAAAAAAATGGTGCTAAATTCTATAAGCAAGGAAGCTGGGCAGTTGGAAGGTTATTTTGTTGAGAAGAGTGGGATTTGCTCTGTGCCCTGTAAAGAGCAAATGCCTGACTCTGAGCAGGTTTGTGGGTGGAGGGGCAGTGGCACAGGGGAGTGTAGGGACTGCACGGGTGCTCACCGCCTCACGGGTGCTCACCGCCTGGTGGAGGTGACAGTAAAGACTAAGCTAGGCCAGAGACACAGACCGTCAGACAGGGAGGAGAACGGGCTGAGGTTTTCCTTTCTTTTTCTTTTTTTTTTTTTTTAAGAGACAGCTGCAGATAGGCACTGTCCAGACACGGGAGAGAATTTATATTAGCAGAAGAGTGCTTGTTTTAGCCAAGAGGCCTGTTTGCTGTATTTCCTTAGACTTAAGGAAAATACTGCATGAAAAATGTATGCGGCTTGAAAGGAAGTGGGCGTAAAGACAGCCAGGGCTTTGAGCAGGGTCGCCTGGACTTGGTGCATTTCTGAAAGGAGCAGCCTGCCTGCTGGGGTCTGAGGTTTGCTGTCCAAGCCTGGGGAGGAAAGAGGTGAGAAATGCTGAGCTTGGGCAGGGAAGGCTGAGTGCAGGGAGCAGGTCGAGGCAAGTGGCAGAGCCCCGGTCCACTCGCTGTGGGCTTGGTGACTCTGCTGGCCAGCGGCACTTAGTGCAGCCTGAGGACCGAATCCGGAGTTTGTCATACCTCAAACCTTAAAGTACCTAAAGTGGCAGTATATGTGCTGAATATTTGGTAGACCTAATTAAGTTAAATACCGTGGATTTCTGAGTATTGCTTTCTGTTGTTTGATTCAGCTTTCGATTTGTCTCAGTGTTGAAGGCACCATGTGCAGCTAACCCCTATGTGAAGTGAAGGGACCTGAAGTACTGCTTTCCACCCCAGTTTTGGCTTTGGTAACAGTCCTGTAGTCACATGACAGCCCTGTGACTTTCCCAGGGCTGGAAGCTGTGGCTCCACGCACCACGCGTGCACTCGGGGGAAGCCTACTGAGAGTCTGGGGAGCTGCCCTGTAGCTTGCTGTGGTCTGATACCTCCAACTTGGAAAGTTTGAGCTGCTCGTGTTGAGGTTTTAAAGGAGAAATTATGTTTGGGTTTTTCTCTTTTGTTTTTGCAGGTATGAATCTCCAGAAATAGCTCTGAACTGTGGGATAATGCTAAGAGAATGCATCAGACACGAACCGCTTGCAAAAATCATTTTGTGGTCTGAACAGTTTTACGATTTCTTCAGATATGTCGAAATGTCAACATTTGACATAGCTTCGGATGCATTTGCCACATTCAAGGTAACAAAAACTGCAGAGCTCTAGATGTGCTGTGTCACATGAACAGATGTGCAAGTTTTTCTTTTTCCACCTCCTTGTCTGTGCACCACTGCCCTCTAGTGGGGAAAGAGAAGATACTGTATTTTCTTTCTCTTTTTTGTAAGATTTATTTTTATTACAAAGTCAGATATACTGAGAGGAGGAGAGATAGAGAGGAAGATTTTCCATCCAGTGATTCACTCCCCAGGTAACCACAATGGTTGGTGAGCCGATTGAAAGCCAGGAGCCAAGAACTTCTTTCCAGGTCTCCCATGCGGGTGCAGGGTCCCAAGGCTTTGGGCCGTCCTCGACTGCTTTCCCAGGCCACAAGCAGGGAGCTGGACGGGAAGCAGGGCTGCCGGAATTAGAACCGGCACCTATATGGGATCCTGGTGCGTTCAAGGCGAGGACTTTAACCGCTAGGCCATCGCACCTGGCCGAAGATACTGTATTTTCATTGTGATTTATTTAGGTCTGTGCAGTAGGGTCATAGTTTAAAAAGAACGGGAAAGTTGGATTCTAACGTATTTCTAAAAGACAATGGTCTCACATGGCCAACATTACATTTTTCTATTACACTGCATATAAGATACGGTGTATGCCATACAGAACACCAAACCCTGGGCTTTGTTCTCTGTTGGAACATTTTGTATCACCTTTTCTGGTTAAACACCAGAAGCCAGAACTGCCTTCTCTTCAGGGGCCTTATTAATTTGGGATGTACATGTTAGCAAATCTTTTTTTTTTTTTAAAGATTGATTTATTTTTATTCAAATGGCGGATATACAGAGAGGAGGAGAGACAGAGAGGAAGATCTTCCGTCCAGTGGTTTACTCCCCAAGTAACCTCAACAGCTGGAGCTGAGCCAGTCTGAAGCCATGAGCCAGGTGCTCTTCCAGGTCTCCCACGTGGGTGCAGGCCGTCCTCGACTGCTTTCCCAGGCAACAAGCAGGGAGTTGGATGGGAAGTGGGCCTCCAGGATCAGAACTGGCAATCATATGGGATCCCAGCGCGTGCAAGGCGAGGACCTTAACCACTACACTATCACTCTGGGCCCCATATTAGCAAATCTTAGAACCACACTAAAGACAGACCCACCCATACTGGACAGACCTGTGGGAGCAGTGGATTTGACTCCGCTCTGCTATCCCTGCCTGCCATCCCTGCTCATACCAGCACCTGCCTGTTAAATGCAGTGCAAGGATGGAATACAAGTTAATACAACAGTACAGAGCAAGGGCAAGAATAAAAGTAAATACAGCTCAAATTATTATGTACTTCCCCCCCTCTTATGCCTCACCTCATGTGTCATTTGATGCCACTGTACAACACAAAGACTTACGTGAGTGTCATGTAGCTCAAGGTATATAAATAAGCAATAATCTTTATTTTCTGACAGGACAAGCCTTTGTATATTGCATTTCCTTCCATAAAATGTGTAAGTGAATATTCAGAACCATTTTAACGAAGTGTGTGTAGTAGTCTGCCTGCTCAGGAGGCGTGGGCAGTGAGCAGTGTCTTACAGGAGATAACGGGCGTGTGGTCCGGGAGTGCAACGCCCGTGACCGGGGAGGATGAAGGAGGGCTGGGGCTGGGTCGCTTGGGCCTCACCTGAATGAGAGTCAAGTCACCTACTGTGTGAGATGTCCAGATCCGGTCAGCAGGGTTTCAGAGGCCCTCGGACGTTCATGTCCATGCACAAAACAGAATTTCTTGAATTTGGGATTACACTGCAGAGTGGTCACTAATGTCTTAGATGTTCCTGCAGTTAGTGTTCTGGGGCTCATGATTAGAATCCCTGAATGGAAGTATGCCCTGGGGAGGGAGTGGCACCATGTGTCAAGGACAGATTGCCTGCATGGAAGGACAGCCGGGACCCACAAGTGACAACACTAGGTACGGGAGGCTGAGAGAAGAGGTTGGAGAAGCAGTAGCAGGAGCAAGCTCCCTGCCCTGTGGAGGATGTCGGCATACTCCTGGCACACGTGGCCAGACTGACTCCTCGGGGAGGCGTGTTGACCTCACACCCATCACGTGATTTGCAATATCTGACAGTCTCAATTGGTTTGCTCATTGCTTCTTTCCACTGATCCACACCAAGAGGAAAAGTGTGGTGATGCAACCTGTTTGTGGTCATCAGAGGGAAGGCCTGGACGCATTTTGAAAGTCCACGTAGGGTCCCAAGCATGAGTGCCAGAAGAGACATTGAGCCGGCTCAGATGCGGTGTCTCACATGTGCCCATCACACACAGAAAGGGAGCACTCCTTAAAGAGGCCCCTGAAGAGAGAGCCCTCTGGGAAACAAGTGTAGGCCTGCAGCCTTGACAGTTCTATGGAGAGGCAAAAGCCTGCCCTTGTCACCTCAGCAGATAGATGCCAGCTGCTGCCCCGTGCCTCCTGCCATCTGCTGAATGTGGGGTGAGCTCCGCACAAGAAAAGCCTCATGCAAACGCAACTTGTCCATAGCCGTGGATGCAAAGTGCCTGCTGGGGCCTGAGGAGGTCACAGCTTCAATGAACGGACACTGAGATAGTAAACCAGATGGCCAAGAATTTGTTTTCTTTTTCTTTATGTATTATTTATTTATTATTTCGGAGAGCTTGAGTATGGAGTGGGTCTTTAGAAGGCCAACAAATGTATTTCCAATTTCTAGAATAATAGAAGTTAGATGTTGGATTCCCTAGAGACCAATGGAGCTTGAAGCTTGATAATGTTACACCTGTGTAAGGTTCTAGAAAGTGCTTCTGTAGAGGTAGCTTCTGAGCATTTTGAAAGGGAACCATGTACCACAGCTAGCATGGATTCCCTAAGAGTTAAGTCATCCTAATCGAACAGGTACAAGCAGGCCAAGATGGCTTAGGGTGTGGCCAGCTGGCTGCAGACCTGATCTCCTGCTGAAGGGACTCCCCCCACCTGTCCCTCTGTAAGTCCGAGCTCTGTGCCTTCACGCCGTCGGTGGGCAGCAGTGGGGAGCTGCTGGCATGACTCCTTCAGGACAAGGAGCATTTGCTAGATACCTAATGACTACAGTTATTCTCACAGAAACAGTCTTATATTTGTTTGTTTGTTTGTTCGTGGGTTTTTAAAGTGAGCTAGATGGAGTTTCAGTATAGTGGTTCACGGTTCATCGGGTGTCAGCTGCTGTTGACATATGCATTGCCACCACCTGGGCTTTGTCCCACCCAGCCTGGCTGAACTGTTGTGTTAATCATGCCTGACAAGACACAGAGAGGCCAGAATGTAACAGAAGGGAGTTAAGCTATGTGACTGATACCCTTTTAAAAAATCAATCAATCATTTTTACATAGTTGAAAAGGGTGCACACTCATGTGGGTCTCTGATTAGGGTGGGGAGGGTCCAGGCATGGAAGAAGGTGGGTGAGACAAATGTCTCAGGGTTTGGGTTTTTTTGTTTTGCTTTATATCTGTAGCGAGGGAAGGAGAGAGAGTCACTCCTTGCTTTCAGACTACATTAGCACCTGGGGTGGGGAACAGTCACTCAATGATACCTTACAAAGCTCAATAGGGAGAGTGTTCCAAGGGTGATACTCGAGTGGTTTTGATAGCTTAAAAACGTCATCAGCTGTGTTGCACCAGAGTTGAGAAATCTTTCCAAGGTCGGTTGGCTGACAGAGTCCACTTTAGTGTATCCATAGGACCAGGAACATATTGCAAAACTTGGCCAGGACAGTTGTCCAACCTGTTCTACTTTGCATCCTCTGACAAGGCGTTTAACATCCTCTGCTGGCCTAGATGAGCTGGCTGTCATGTTCCCCTGGGCACATCTGGACAGGCTGTCCACTGCACAGGCATCAGCGACTGAGGAGGGCCAGCCCCAATCCTTGCATTCCAAGGTGAGACGACATATGTTGTGCTTTTCCCTGTGGTCAGGTTTTGAGTTCAACCAACTAGTTGGGGAATCCCCCAAGAAACCTCACCGAGGTGACCTCAGACTTGACTCCTGTCTGCACCAGCCAGTGCAGAGTCAAGGTCAGTGTGTTGGCTGCACCAGCCAATGTACATACTGTGGTTAATACAGCTGCATGGGCATTTCTACCCTTAGCCCCATCTCACTTGAACTGGTGGGTACTATAGCCTCACCCAAAACAGTAACCCCCATCAGCTTACCCACAGCCTCAGTTTTTGCATATGCCAACACGTTTTGTGGCCCAGTCCAGTCTGCCCCATACCCATGGATACTGCAGCTTTGCTCAGCCAAACACAGCCCACATGTATGCCAGTGGGTGCTTGACCAGCCTGGCCCACCTCCAGTCCTTGCTCTCATGCTCACCAGTGGGAGAGTGCCCATTGTTCCCCTATCAGGCCCACTCCCATCCCCAGCTCTTGCATCTGCCAGGGGCTTCTGTGGTCCAGCCTGACATGACTCATATCCAGTCCTGGCACTTCCCTGTGGATGCTACAGCCCAGCCCAGTTGGCCCACACCCATTCTGACTCATGTGTGCTAGTGAGTGCAAGGGAATCCAGAAAGTTTCCCTACCATGCCTTCTCCCAACCTCAGGTCTTGTATATGGCAAGGGGTGCTGTGGCCCACTCTCAGTCCTCATGTGAACTGATGGGCGTTGCAATCCAACCTGGCCTGGCTCTTACTCTTGCCAGTGTGTGTTGTGGACTGGCCATGGTCCAGATCCAACCCACACATGCTGATGGGTGCTGCAGCCCAGTCTGGCATGGCCTGCTCCCAGCCCCAGCTCTCACACTCATGAAGTTCCCCTTCCAGGCTCACACCCAGCCCTGGGTCTCACACATGACAGCAGATTTCACAGCTCTGCTTGGCATGATCTACCCTCAGACATGGCCTTTATGTGTGCTGGCAAGTGCTGCAGCTTGGCCCAACCTGGCTTCCTCCCAGGCCCTGCTCTCACAAGTGTCAGATAAGTTCCTCTGTCCAGTTTGGCCCAGCCTGTTACCACCTCCAGCTATATGCTGCAATCTCACAGAGACAAGCCCACAAGTCTACAAAGTCTGCCCCCAATCTCATATTCTGGTGAATGGCGCAGCCCAGCCTGATGTGACCCACCTCCTGCTCCAACAGTCAGATACTGTGGCCTAGCCCAGCCAGCCTTGCCTCCCAACCCCAGCTCTTGCATGGGCTCCATCTTAGCTCCCTGTGGGTGCAGTGACCTGGTCCATGAAAGCCCCTAGAAAGTCTTTCCTCACTTGTCAAACATGCCCTCAGCTGCTCCCACTATAATATGTTCCTAGAATCCCCTTCCCTGGGCAATCTGCAGCCCCTCTGCACTGGCCTACCCCCACCCGAGGGTTGGGATGGCAGGTACCAACCCAGAGTGTGCTGCCTTCCCCACATATTAAGAAGAAGAAAAAGAATAGGAAACTGTGCTGGCACACCGATGTAGTTAACACAAATTTGGCATTAACCAAGCCCAAAATGTCTGGCCCAAAATTGGCTGCTTTTCTTCCAGCTGTGTAACACTTGCCTTGGCACAAAGCAACTTGGGCAATTGCCTACAGCTTGAATGACTAAGGTCTTGACTTGAGAATCCAACTATACAAATGATGAAATGAGAATAAAGCATAATGCTAATGAATTCTCAGCAAAGTAATTACTAAGTGTGGTAAGTGCTTGAAGGGTCCCTTCGTATCGCATGAGGCCGCCTTGTGAAGGAGGCAGTCATTCCCTCCTTTATGTGGAGATGCTGAAGCCCTGGAGTGTCAAGCGCAGTCCAGCAGTAGATGGCAAAGCCAGAATTGGACCCCAGGCAGCCTAACTATGGAGCAAAGAAAGCTCCCAACACACCCAGTAAAACAGGATGTGCTGCCCCCACTCGGGCCTCATGCCCCTGAGGTGGTGGTGCCATGAGCTGCCTGATGGTCTCACTTGGCCCTGCCCTCGCAGGCAGCAGTACAGAGGCAAGTGGTGACTTTGAGAAGGTGCTCAGAACCCTGTCGTTTGAAGGAGTGGTAGAAGGAACTGCATGTCTTCAGCCTGGAGAGCACTTGCTAGGGACTTGGTGTGCGAGCACTGTTTGTATGTGAAATGAGGCCTACAAAATGGATTCAACACATTCCAAGTTCACCCCCAAAATGGCTGCATTGGGCTGGACCAAGCTAAAGCCGAAAACCAGGAGCTTCTTGTAGGTCTCTGCGAGCAGCAGGGGCCCAGAGATTTAGGCCATTCTCTGTTGCTTTCCTGGGCGCATTGCAGGCAGCTGTATTGGAAAGGCAGAGTTGGAGAATCTTCCATCTGCTCGTTCATCGCCAAATGGACAACAGTTGGGCACATTTCTGTCCTTACGGTTTCTGGAAATGACTAACTGTCAGAGCTCCGGTGATGAACCACATGTCTAGAACTGACTGCCTTGTCCTCAGCCGTGGTCAGTGTGGGAGTAGGACACACTGCCCACTCCCTTCCTGGGCGCTGTGAAGATGACTTACTGAAGGTGGCAGTGTTTCTTCAGGGAGGCCAGGACTGTGTCATGTGATATTTAGGGCCCAGCCCGGGAGGATGACTGCTGCTTTCTTTGTACCGTGCCAGGGCTGTTGTCCAGAGAGGAGGGAGGTGGGAAGTCTGCTCCTGGGCTGTTGCCTGTGGACTGGTCAGGCCACTGACCAGATGCTGACTTCAGGCCCCTTTGTCTTCATTTGTTATTCCATTGGGTCATTCCCTGCTTTTGTTCTCTGAAGCTTTTAATGCATTCTTGTAAGCTGAGGTGCTTCTCACACAGATAGGGGCACTGGGCAAGTGCCTGCCACCTCCTGTCCCAGCTTAGGATCTGCCTTCTCCATGCTGGCTCTTAGCAGTTGTGCCTTCCCCACACATGACTCAGCCCCAGGCCCTGAAGTACCCTGAACAAATGGCGCTGGGCTTAACACCCACCTACTTCAGCATTGGAAGGTGCCCCTCCCCCCTTTCTTATAGATGGAAAGAAACAGATCTCGCATTTCCTAGTCACTCTTCAGGTGCCTCCAGTGGTCAGGGCTGGGCCAGGCTGTAGCCAAGAGTCGGGAACTCGTCTGAGTCTCCCGTGTGAATGGTGGGGACCCGAGGACTTCAGCCGCTGCCTGCTTGGACTGAAAGTTGTGGGATTCCAGTGTCCAAAGCAGTCCCCACCCTAGAGTGTCCCTTTGCAATCATGTCTGCCTCAAAGCCATTGACCTTGACTCCAAGATTGGTAACCACTTCCTGAGTGCCAGATGATAACTGAATGCTGGAGTGCTCTAGCTGTGAGGCTCTTGCTTCTGCTTAAAGTGTGCTTTTCAGGGGAGGGTGAGTAGCCCAACAGGTGCAATACCCATGTCCCATAGCGCAGTGTTTGGAGTTCATGAAAACCTATTGCACAGCGTGTTTACACCTGGAGTGATCCAAGCCCAGCTAAGAATCAGTCTCTAAGTTCTCCTTGCCCTGTTGTTCTGTGTCACCAAATGCTGTCAACCCAGTGAGCAGCGGCTTCCCCTGGCTATGCTTCTTCATACTGGCCTCCAAACAGGTTAGCCCCAAAGCAGGAGTGACAGTGTGGCACAGATCCCGACACAAGAATTCCTGAATGCACTTAACCGCATGATCGGTGCACCCAGCTCTCAGGGCTGGTCTTGTGCCAGGCCCATTCTTTAAGGTTAGGGATCCAGCAGTGACCTGTACAGCTGAGCCCTGCCCTTGCCACATACATGGGGGGACAGCAGCCACAAGCAGGCCAGCGCTACGTGTTAAGGGCTGCCAGGTGGGTGGGTGGGGTGTGTGAGTGAGTGGGTGTGTGAGTGAGTGAGTGAGTGATGCCACGTATGCCTGGTGCATAGGGTCCACGTGTTCTCTCCCAGGTGTCTGACCCATGGACCAGCCACTCAAGTAATAGAAACTGCCTTCTTACTTTCAGCTGCTGCTTCCCACTGGCAGGGAGGGGCTGGACCTAGCACTCCTTGCTAGAATCTTGAGTACATTCAGACTTCCAGCTTTCTAATCAAGGAGGATTTAGAATAAAATTGGCTAAGGCCTTCCCAGGCATCACTGTTCTAATGAGGAAATACAGCCCAGGCCCTCAGCCACAGTGTATACAGCCACAAAGCTCAGGGTGGGAGCTTTGCAGATCACAGAATGTGATGTTTGCAGCTGTGTGCCCTGGTTTTATGGTTTATTTGTGGATGGTATCTCTACTCAGATCTTGCTCTGTGTGGGAGACTGCATGTAGGTGCTACGGATTCAGTGACTATTAATACTGTGGAACTGAATGATTATACACCAGAGGCACTGGAGTAATCACGCAGATGAAGTCACAGCTGTGGCCAGTTCTGTCATGATGGTGAGCAGCAGGAGGCTTCGCTGCAGGAGCGGTGGCTAAGGGGAGATGTGCAGGGTGAACCAAGGTAACCAGGGAGCAGGCCTTTGGGAAACACTGCCATCAGCCTCTGCAGGTTTCAGGACCCACTTTTCATTGCAGCCTAGGCAACTTTTGAACAGAAACAGGAACCAAGTCTGTGTTGCCGTTCTCCCACCTGTTCCTCAGGGCTTGACCAGCCCCCTTCCCTCCCCGGCCCTTGGAGCCAGGATCTGGCCTTGCCTCTGAGGCCCAGCATCTGCAGCTTGGTCGGGCACATGGTAGATGCTTCTTGCCCCCATGAAGGCGTGGAGTGAGCCATGGGCGCGGCTGCGTGTGTGCAGGGTACATTGTGGGGCTTTCCTTGTCCACCAGAAACAGTCTGTCTTACCTGAGTGTTCACTTCCGTTGCACTGTTCTTCATTTTCCTGTTGTATTACATGTTTGTGTTTTCTTTTAAGAGCTGTAGTCCATAAATAGTGCTCAGTCAAATTGTAACTTCAAATTATTAATGATTTGAGTAATTCTTGTATAGAATGTTTGCAGTGCAGTTCATGCTACAGTGTTAAGTATAGTCATTTCTAATGTTTTTATCGGTTAAAATTGTGTGGATTGTTGTTTTATTATTCTCTTTTCTGAAAGAATTTACATGGAGAACTACTGTAAAAAAAAGTCTTTTCTTTTTCTTTTTTTTTATTGTTATTAACATTGTATTGTCTTTTCTTTTTCTAGGATTTACTAACAAGACATAAATTGCTCAGTGCAGAATTTTTGGAACAGCATTATGATAGAGTAAGTATGTGGATACGTTGAAATAACAAGTTCAGACTTTGCGTACCTGGAATGAGTGAGTCGAGTCGGACACCTGCCAGAACGCCTCTCGCTCTGGGCTGTGTCGGCATGCTGCGGCTCAGTGCTGCTTCCGAGGAGCCAAGCTTTGTCCTTGCCATCACCACTTTGTATCTTTTCTTACCTTAGAAGAAAAGAGAGCATCTTGCTGTTGAATGATCCTACAGTTAGGCTAAAGCATGAATGTGTTCTCTGGTTTTTCTTATTTTCCTTTCTTTCTTGTCAGTTGCCACGTAGAGGTGGGGTGGGGGGCAGCCGTGCTAGGGTGAGGCATCGCCAAGTGGCGGGCAGGACCCATCCCTGCTGCTGACATGCAGGGACCTGGTTGAGGCCTTGACCGCCTTACTGCTCTGGCTCCAGGCACCTGTAGCTGAGAACTTGGAGTCAGCGTCAGCAAGGTCCACCCTTGATCTCAGTCAGTATACGGCCCACGGGCAGGGTGAGGGTTTTCAGAGAGGCCTCGCCGGGCTAGGTGACCCTGAAGCCATACCAGCATTCATTCCTCAGGCTACTTAGTCACACGCCTTTTTAAAAAAACTATTCATTCATTCATTCATTCATTTATTTTAGAGACAGAATTACAGAGGTTGTGGGGAGACAGGGATCTTCCATCAGTCAGGGGTTCTGTAAGCATCACCATCAGTGGTACCAAAGACACCAACAAGCTGTGCTGGGGTCAGGCTGTATCATTCCTAAAAACAGGCAGCAGGGCTAGCTTTGGCCTGCCAACCTCAGGGGAGTGCGCATAGCCTGTGGTTGTGTTGTTGTGGAGGCTGGAAGAAGGCGCCCATATGCCGATTCCCTCCTACTCAGGAGCATTTCTGAGCTCCTGCCTGGGGCTGGCCTGACCCCTGCTGGTGTGGGCGTCTGGGGGTGAACCAGCAGCTGGAAAATGTGCATGTCTGTGTCTGTGTCTGCCTTTCAAATATGTTAATAGGGAGGGAGGCAGGGAGGGAGGGAGGGAGGGAGGAGAGCTGACGCAATGAGGTTCAAACCAGGAGAGGAGAGGGAAGTAGGTCCTGTCGTGGGGTGCTGTCTCAGGCTCAGCTGGCACCGGCAGGGGATGGTCTTATAACCCTGTCCACAGAGGTGGTCGTTAGTATCATCCCGGGGTCTCTGAGCATCAGATGGCAAGGAAGAGCTGGGGCAGCCATTGCCTTTATGGTTTTAACATTTATATCTGAATTTGAACATGTTATCTGTCAGTCTATTAACAACCTGATAATTTTTTCTCGTCTCTTAGTTTTTCAGTGAATATGAGAAGTTACTTCATTCAGAAAATTATGTGACAAAGAGACAGTCACTCAAGGTATGAGAGATTTTCGTGTAGTTGATTTCTCCTGGCACAGTTTGCGTTTGGGCTTGGGAAAAGGGAGACGGCAGGCGGGGCCTGAAGTGCGCCTGTCTGAGACAAGGGTCTGCAGAAGGCAGCGGCCCAGCCCTGCAGAAAGCCAGGTCCCCAAGGGGCTGAAGCTTCAACTTGATGAACTAGACTGAGGTCTAGTGATGAAACTGCCGACTGGGCACAGCCCTGGCTGCTGTGTGCCAGGGCCATCAGGAGCTTGGAATGCCAGCCTGGAGAGTGAAACTCCAGACCGGGGATTGCCAGCGATCAGGCCAAGACTGCCCCGTTGACCCTGGCTGCTTCAGGGACCACAGTGTGTGTGAGCAGGTGCTTACTGGCTGGTCAGTCTCTAGAAAACCCTCAGGACAGTTCACAAGGGCTTTGCGCTGTCCTGTCAGCACGTGGGCCGCCAGGAGCTGCCAGGGGCCACTCAGAGCTCCTGGGGTTCGTGCTTGTGTGGAGACCGTCTGCCAGCCTCACTGTGTCTCCCACTCTGCCGTAAGACCTTCCCCTCCAAAGTGTCGAGCTCCTGTTGATGCAGGCCCCATCCATCCTGCACCAAGGAGCATCTTTCTGCACAGAGCCCTTTGGCAGGGGAGCTGTTTGGCATGCACATACCATCTGGCTGTCATCACTGCAGTCACCCTGCCAGCCCCATACTGCCTCACGGTCTGAGAGGGATCATGAACCCAGCCTCTGGGTTCTTGTCCTAAAGGTCAGCTGTGATACTGAAGGTGGAAGAGAGCACCACACACATGCACAGTGTCCTGTGGAGCTGCTGGAGGTGCCTCCCTCACTGCACACTTGTGCCAGGGAGTGGCATTGCAATGTCTTGTTCTTCTGAGCCAACCTTCAGGGACCAGGACACAGAGCCCTCCCCAGTGGGTCCAGCAATGCAGTCTGTCGGGATTGCCGGGAGAGCCACAGCACCTCCTAGTGGCAAGGGTGGCTATGTCCTGCAAATCAATAAACTAACCAGATGTTCAACTCTTTAGGTCAGGAGAGTTTCAGAATTACCAACATGAAAAGGAGGATGGTGACCTCTTCTACTCACCCTTGGCTTAGGTTAGGCACTAAGCTGATCCTTCTGTCCTGCCGTGTCAGAGCCAAAGACACTCTGAGTTCCTCGGGAACGCGCATGACCGTATGAGGACGAGTGCTAGTTACCGGTGGATTTTCCTGAGTAATATTTCCCACATGAGACTAAGTTCTTTATTTTAATGCTCAAAGAAATTGTTTTTTTTGTTTGTTTAATTTTTTTTAGTATTTTGACAATCTTTACATAGTTAATTAGGGTAAAATGGTTCAAGGGCTACAGGAAAGTGGGTAAAACTATTATTTCCACACAGATTTTTTTTTTTTCTATATCCGGGGTAAAGGGGGAGGCAAAGGGAGAAGCCCCGCCCAGCCTCCCACCCATCCAGGTCCCCAATGTGGGGCATGCTCCAAGGGTACTTCTCAAATGGTTTTGATAGATCAACAGTTATGAATTGCTACCAGTCTCACCACTCCAAGCATGAAGAAATCGCTGCAGAATACACTGATTGACATAGTCCATCTTAGAGTCTCCGTTTGCCCTGTTTTTCACTGCCACCATATGGCTGGGGTAGTTGATTGATTTGTTCTGTCCTCTGTCTTTTCATGGTTAGGGATCTGAGTCCAGCAGTTGGATTGAGGGGATCCCTAAAGAAGTTTTGTTTGAGGTGAACCCAGACCAGATTCTTGTATGTACCAGCAAGTACAGGGCCCGGCACAGTCCATCGCCCTGATCAGCTGGTGGTTGCCATTGCTAGGTCAGTTCTGTTTCCAGCCCTGTCTTCCACTGGAACCAATGGGTGTTGCAGTCCAGCCTGGTTCTTCCCAGCACACTCAGCCCTCACATAAATCAGTGGGAGCTGCAGCCTAATCAGAGCAAACCACAATAACACCCACCAGGCCCCACCCCCTACCCTGGTCCCCATGCTTGCCATTATGTGCAGCAGACTAGTCCAGTCTGTCGCACATCCCATTCAGCTCTCATACATGTCAATGGGCATTGAAGCCTAATTCAACCTAACCAGCTCCACTATCCAACCCGCACACTTGCCGTTGTTGGGTGCCTTTCTGTCTAGCCACCCCTGCCACTGTCCTGGTTTTTTTGCCCTCCAGTGGGAATGGTAACCCAAGAGGGAGGAGCCCACTATTTCCTTCTAAGCCACTCCCACTCCTGGATTATACACTCCAGGTGGTTCTGAGGTTTAACTTGACAGAATTAGCCCTCAGTGCCAGCTTCTGCCAGCTGATGCTGCGGCAAAGCCCAACCAATCCTCACCCACTCTTTTATGCTTGCACAGCCTGGCTTTTACCTGATCTAGTCCACAGGAGCCACACAGGTGTTGTAACCCTGCCTAGTCTGGTCTGCCCTCATCCCAGCTCACGCTCTCCAGTGGGAATAGTTGTCCAGCAGGGGAGCCCACCCCCCAATATTTCCCCTGCCGGCTCTGCCCCTTCCATTCTGGTTCTCACGTGTGCTGTTGGGTGCTGCGGTCACATCCGGTACAGGCAAACTCACCTTGGCATTCCATAATGTGCACTGGTTTTTAGTCACAACCGAACCCGGCTCAACCCACACTATTCTGGTGCTCAGATTCGCCAGTAGATGATGGGAACTGATTGAGCCTTGTCTGCCCCTGACGCATGCCAAATGTATGCCAGTGGGAAACTTTCCATGGCATGTTCTGGGCTGTTTCCTGTCATGCTTCTTGTGCTTATCTCTACAGGGACTGTGTCCTGCCAGAAGAGTTGCCCAGGCTCCTCCATCAGAACCTCTCCCAGTGCCAGAATTCCCACATACCAGTGGGTCCATGAGCCAGCCCTACTCAGTTCACCTCCTGTCCTAGTAGGAACAGTGGCCTTTCCTGACCGGCCTTCAACCCAATCTGGTTCTTGCTGTTGGATGTTTCAGCCCAGCCACGGCTCATCCATACCCACTTATGGCTCACACGTGGCTCAGTAGGGGTTGAGACCTAGCCTGGTCCATCCCACATCTACCCTTGAACTCCAGAGCACCAGATGGTGTTGGAGTCTAGCCCAGCTTGGTGCATCCAGTCCCAGTCCACACTTGTGCCAAGAGAGACTATAACCATATCCTGATCAGAACGCAGCCCCCATTCCAGCCTCCGTGCTCCTTAGTGGTTAACCTCAACCCAGCTAGGGTGTCCCCTTAGCTCCCCAACCGGGCCTGTTCCCAGCCATAGATTGCACTCATGCCAGTAGTTGCTCTGACTCAGCTTGGCAGAGCCCCTCACCTGTCCCGGCCCCTGCTTTAGATGCTATGGCTTAGCGTTCCTGGCAGACCAGTAGGTGCAAGAGGCTAGCTCGGCATGACCTGTGCTCCATCCTGATTTCTAATTTTGCTTGTGGGCTAAGGTTTGCTCAGTCCTGCCCAGTCAACCCTGTTGCATTACCAATCCACACATTAGCCAGCCATTGGAGCTATTTTGCCCAGCTTGTCTGACCCCCAGGTCTGGAACCATGTGTTCACCAGCGGGAGCTATGACCCACCCGGGGAGTTTCTCAAGTTCTTCCACTTGACCCATTCCTCACCAGTTCTCATACATGCCAGTGGGTTTCAGGCCAGTGTCTGGCCTAGTCTGGCCTTCCATTTGGCCTTGTATGAGCTGGTGAATGCTGCAGCCCGGCCCACCACACACCCTATTCAGGATGCACATTTGGGAGCTGCTGCCTTGACCAGTGCAGACTGTTGTGGGTTCCTTTACCCATGAGTGATGGCAGACTCCTTGATCACACCTAGCTTAATCCAGAACCACCCCAACTCTTGAGCTAACCAGTGGGGATAATAGTTCCACAGGGTTTTGGCCACACATTGCCCACAGAATCTACCCCTGGATATGGTTCTCTCATGTGCTAGTTAATGTCATGGCCCTGCCTAATGTGACCTGTCTCCTGATCCAACATTATGTCAAATAATAGGAAATGATCCTGCTGGACAAGCCCCAAGCCTTAGCTTTTGCATGGACTGGTGTTCGGTGGTCGGCATTGTTCAGTAATTACAAGTTCTACACACAGGATTTAAAGGAGTTTGGTATATCAGTCTTATCCATAAAGATCATCTGGTCCCTCTCCTCCAACCAACCAATGAGGTCTCATTACCCTCACTTACCTTCAAAGGGAAAGTTACTCTGTTGTTGGGAGTCTTTAAGATTGATTCACATCCCAGAAGTACAGTGGAGCTGTACTTCTTGACATGGAGCTACCTAAGCAGCAATTCAAAGAACCAAAACCCCAGAGCTGGCCGCTGGAGACAGCTCACCACCTGTACATGGTGGCTGGAATTGGGGTTCCAAGCATGGAGACAGTCCCGGCCTGGCACCCACCAGCAGGCTGCTGGAAGTTTTAACCCCCAGACCCAAGGTCGCCCCCTCCCCAATCCCATCCACCACGCAATGATGGCAGCAGGTGGGGCCCGGGCCCACCCGGTCCTTCAAACTTAGCCTTTCGGTGTACTCACCATGAAGGGAGCAGTCTCTGGAGTCGGGCAGGCCCAGGGACAGGTCACCACGTGGACACAGTGGCTGGAATCAGGGCTCTGAGCATGGAGACAGCCAGTCCTTCCAGTACATGTTGCTCCATGAGTAAACACTCTGCCAGCCTCTCTGGGATAGCAGCAGATGCCCCAAGCTGCAAACCCATCCTACCTGGAAGCTACATGACGACAGGCCTAGTGGCTGCCACTCAGCTGAAACAGCAGAAGGTACAGCCTGAGCCCTCAGCTGTCCTCTCAGTCCTTTGGAAGCCCTGTGTGCTGTTGGCTTACTTCACTATATATTTCATGTATCTGAACCCCAGCCCATGTCGCGGAAAGGCCATGCCAGGGCAGCAAAAGCAGGGCACAGTAGCCCCGTGTGCAGCCTTCCCCCAGCCTCCCACACACTTCTGCACCTCATCCCAGCTGGGCACCTCACACCCACATACACTTGGGTCCCTCACTGCACTGTCGTGACATACCGGAACCTTTGTCCCCGCCCCCGTACAGATGGCAGCACTCATGGGCAGCAGGGAGCCAGTTGGGACCCAGGCCTGGGGGCGCCAGAGCCCGGTTCCCCGTGGCTGTTCCCCTGGGCCTTTGTCCCCACAGCCCGCAGTCCAGCACCTGCGCCTGTTGCAGGCCCCACAGTTCAGTTCATCGGATCCTGTTGATGCTTGCTGAGGCGGTGATGAAATCAGCTGATTGTAAATGTCTTTCTCTGAATCCTAAAAATGTTTAAATGTCTTCTCAGCTTCTCGGTGAACTACTGTTAGATAGACACAACTTTACAATTATGACAAAATACATCAGTAAACCTGAGAACCTCAAGCTAATGATGAACCTCCTACGAGACAAGAGCCGCAACATCCAGTTTGAGGCCTTCCACGTGTTTAAGGTAGAGTACGAAGACGGTGCGGCGTGCCCCCATCAGCTTGGGGCACTAGCTCACAGACTGGCGCTCTCAGCCAGGTTAGAGTCCAGTGTAGGCTGTTGATATGGTGCATTCAGCATTTAGACAGAAAAATCTGGAAATAGGGCATACTGTGTGAATTTTGGAGCAAGAAACTATAGTGTCCATCTTCCACATTAGAGAATTGTTTGTCACAAAGTAAAACCTTTTTTTTTTCTCAAGAATTGTTTCATTTGCCTCACATGTTTATTTACACAGAGGAGTGGGGTGCCATTGCTAATCTGCCTGCCAATGTGCATCCCATTTATGAGCCAGTTTGTGTCCTGGCTGCTCCACTTTCCATCTCTGCTTATGACCTGGGAAAGCAATGAAGGATGGCCCAAAAACTTGGGACCCTGCACCCATATGGGAGACCCGGAAGAGGCCCCCTGGCTCAGGATCAACTCGGCTCCAGCCATTTGGAGAGTGAACTAGAAGGTGGAAGATCTTTTCCCTTTGGTATTTCCTTTTAACTATAAAACCTGCCTTTCCAATAAAAATAAATGTATCTTTTTTTAACAATGGAGAGGAGTGAAAGAAAGAAATTCCATCTACTGGTTCCTGCTCAAATGGCTGCAACAGCTGCAGCTAGGCCAGGCCGAAGCCAGGAGCCAGGAGCTCCATCCAGGTCTCCTGCGTCGGTGCCAAGGGTCTTGCTGCTACCTTCCCAGGGACAGTAACTGGAAGCCAGGACTTGAACCAGCAGTCACATGGGATGCCTGCATTCTGGCAGCAGCTTTAACTGCTGTATCGCAACACTGGCCCCGTGTGAAGCCATTTCTTCGTGTTTTCCCTTCTGTGCCTGGCTCACTCCCTAGAGGCCTGCAGCAGCCGGGGCTGGGCCTCAAGGACTCAGACCAGGTCTTCCATGGGTGCGGGAGCCCCAGCTACTCTGGCAATCATTGCTCCCTCCTTGTTCTGCATGATAAGGAAAAGCTGGACCCTGAGCCAGGAGTTACCCGTGCAGGCACGCTGCGGGATCCAGATCCTTCACTGTTAGCCCGATGCCCGTGTCCTGAGGTACAGGTTTAGACCCTACTCCTTTTCATTGAAACTTTGCATTTAGTTGACGTGTAGAGGAACATACAGCTGTGCAGTCCACTGTTCCACTCCCCTAGATGCCCATGGTAGCCAGGGACGGGCTCGGCAGACCGACAGGCCGCAGGAGGCTGAGCTGTCGCAGCTGCCTCCCGTGGTGCCCACCAATAGAAAGCCGGGCTCCAGCAACACATCTGCCCACACACCAACACCCTGACTGGCATCTTTTTTTGTTTTTCCTGGAACAAGCAACCTGAAAAGAACAGTCTGAGGAGGACATTTACAAACTGGCAGGGGGAGGGCACAGTGGCATGTCCATTTGGCAAGGGCAGAGTCAGACCCCCTACCACCCAGCTGAAACTTCTTAAGGTGAAACAAAAATGTGGCCTTGAAGATGCCCACGGTGTCTGTTATCCAAACATTCTTCCGTTTCAGGAAAGATAACATCTGAGCCAATCTCTTTAGGGTTCTGCTTAATTATGAAAGTAAATATTTACATTGAGAACAGTTATGTAATAGCCTTCTTCCCATTTTTACAATAGGGTTTCATTCACACTCTGAATAGTTGAATTAGCAGAGACCCTGTATCCATTTTGTGGGAGATGAATTATATCCAGTTTCTTTTCACAATAGCCAACTAGAAGATTATTCGGCTTTTGAAGTACTGGCTAGGCTGGCATCTTCAGTGGTGGCTAGATATGAGATTTCTATGTAACACATGCTGGTACTGGACGCACTCGTGGGCTCAGCCCTTGTTCTGGTACTCCACAATGCAGCGGAGGAGTCTCCTGATTGATTTCAGCATTGCCCCTCAGCCAGGCAGATACGAAGGCCACTGACATGCCAGGGAGCCCCGTCAGCACTCCCCGGTGAGCATCTTAACCCCTGCCCCCCCCCCACACACACACACACACATGTGCCTCTTGGGGTTAGTGTCTTCACAGTGGGTGACATCACTGCCGACACGGCCAGCATCCTGTAGTGGGATGCTAGCCCAGGGATCGAGTGTCTGCTACTGTACCTGGGGAGACCTGTGTCCTTGGGGCCCTGCGCCTGCATGGGAGACCCTGCCCGGGTCGTGGGCTCCTGGCTGGAGTGGCCATTTGGGGAATGAACCCATAGGTGGAAGATCAGTCTCTCTCCCTCCCTCTGTGCTCCAAATGAAATGAGCAAGAAGGCTATAGTCTGCCCCCTGTGCCCAGAGCTTGTTCCTCAGTGTCTCCTGCAGGCAGGTCTGTAGTTGGCACCTAGCAGGGTGCATGTGGCAGACCTTTGTGAGGATTTACAGAGACGAGGAGAGACAGAAAGATCTTTCATCCACTGGCTCACTCCCCAGCTGGTCACAACAGCCAGAGCTGAGTCGATCCAAAGCCAGGAGCTTCTTCCAGCCTCCCGTGCAGGTGCAGGGACCCAAGGCTTTGAGCCATCCTCTACCTTCTCCAGCCACAATCTGAGAGCTGGCTAGAAAGTGGAGCACCCAGGACACAGCCGGTGCCTATATAGGATGCTGGCACTTGAAGGGGGAGGACTGGCTAGCTGAGCCACTGTGCCAGGCTTGTCGGGCCTTTTCGTGCTGAAACAGTTAGCATTCAAGTTGTGCGACAGGGACTGGTCATACCGCAAAGGCCAGTTACCCAGAGTCCACCGCCTTCTCCCCTGCAGGTGTTTGTCGCCAATCCTAACAAGACGCAGCCCATCCTGGACATCCTCCTCAAGAACCAGACCAAACTCATCGAGTTCCTCAGCAAGTTCCAGAACGACAGGACCGAGGACGAGCAGTTCAACGACGAGAAGACCTACTTAGTCAAGCAGATCAGGGATTTGAAGAGACCGGCCCAGCAAGAAGCCTAACTTCCGGTCCCCCGCAGTGAATGCGAGGTCAGCGTGTGCAGTTAGCTCTTCCGCATCAGGCACTCTTCCCGACCCCTGAGGCAACACCACTGCTAATCTGCTGTTCAGTGAACGGTTTTCATTTGGCCTTTTGTTTTTAGTCCAGGTTGGAGAGCGAGGCTGCTGCTTGCACGCTCAAGCACTCGGGGCTTTGCCTTCATCTTCGTGTCCTTTCAGAATTCAGACTCCCGCGCTGTCGGAGTGCGCATGAGCACGGCCGGGGCCCTGACGGCGAGCACAGACACAGTGTGGGCAGGGGAGCGGGCACCACGCTGGCTCCTGGACCTGCCTGTCGCCATGTCCCCGGAGCACAGGCAGCGCGGCCTCCCTTCCCGTCGGGGGGCGTTGGGGAGGGGCGCGGGCGGGCGGACAGCCCACCAGGCCCGGGGGGGTGTACATAAGCTTCATCCGGCTTTCTAGGGGTCCCGGCGCTTGATTCCTTGAGACTTGTGAACCTGACTGTGCTGAAGGGTACCTGTTGATTTTACTTTTTGAAGGGATTTTAAAACAGTAGAGCTAGCAACGACACCTTGCATTTCAGTTCCTCACCGCTCACAGGTTTCTTTTGTATATACTTCTTAGAATGGTCATTTCTTTTAAATGGTTTAATTTGTACAGCAGAGGAATGTTATTGTAGTATGTAACTATTACCTAATACTGAGTTTTTGCAAAAAAAAAATGAATGCGCATATGTAATTGAAATATTTCAGATCACATGAAAATGCTGATTTAACATTTAAATATCACAGCATTAAAAGGAAAAAATTAATGAACCAATCCTTTGTATCTAGTTCCGTAATGGGGTGCCATCAAGAGGCCGAGCTCTGGGCCGGGCACTGGGTCAGTTCCCGTCCTGCGTCCTGCCGGCCTCATTCGTCCACAGGAGCCATGACTTGGCCGGGTCTGAGTCGGGGCCTCTGCCGGTGCTGACGCCTCACGTGGCCAGGCCTCCGGGCACCTGCTCTCCTCAAGCGAGTGGCCCAGGGCAGTGGTTGGAAAACTTACTAAACGTAGCTTTGGCCTCTCTTAGGAAAAGAAGAGTTCTAGTTATAGGTGTCCTACGGGGAACGTTATTTTTTTTAAGTCCTGTTCCTTAATGCTGCAAATGATCAGTATTTATAAAGTAACTGATTTTGCACCACTTTTGTTACTGTGACCATGGCAGAACAATGTCTCCTAGACTCTGATCTATGAAGTTGTCCCGGTGGAGTCTGTTCATCTTAGTGCTACAGAGAGCACATCTAACAACGTACCAGTCCGAGTTCACCAGGTGGAACTCAGCATGGCTGTAGCTGATTAAGAAATTTATATAATTACTCTTTGCTCGCCTCTCTTACTAATTGGACGATTGATCAGCCAGTCAAAGGGGCCTCCCAATCAAAGTTTGAGCAGGTTTTAAGTCTCTAAAAACACCAGGTAGGAAAACAGCTCCCGAAATATCAGCATATTTAACTCACTCACACAGCGTTCTTACTAGCATTGGTTTTCCCAAAATCATCTTCTTGGTCAGGAGACCCCGGAATGTTTATTAGGAAGACAACGTGGCTCTGCCGGGGTGCCGAGGCTGGCATGGGCATGTGCTGTGCCCCCTGGCTGATGGCAGAAGGGTCCTTACCAAACCGGCTCTTAGAACATCAGGTGGCACAGCAGCTGCTGTGCTAGTGGCTGTGTCGGCACCAGGCCTTTCCTGCGGAGGCAGCGGGGCGGCCACGCTCTATCGAAACAGTGTGGAAATATCCAAGTTGAACAGCTGCATTTGATGGTAGGATCATTTAAGATACTCATATACCAAAACTATGAAACTAGAAGTGGTTTCTTTGCGTTATAAAGATTTCCTTTTCCATATGGCAGTTACCTAAGGTGATTTTAACCCTCTGAGAACACGTGGAGGTGTGTGCAGTTGTGAGCAATGCCATGAACACATTTCCTTTCTCCTGAGGAAAAGTCAATTTCTTGAGAATATCTGGCTGGCCCTGTAATTTAAATTAAAATAAAGTTTTGGAGAAACAGAATCGTCTGTCTTCATGTTTGCTCTCAGTTGTAGCTGCGTCACCGACCCCCCGGGGAGACAAAGCCACACCTGCTGTCACCTCCCAGGTGGAGATGGCCAGCACCCACTGCCCGCCTGCCGCCCTGGGCATCACAGATCTCCCTCCCCACTGCCTGCGCGCGCAGCCTAGCTCTGCCTGCAGTCAGCACTGTTGTTCACCTGAAAGGGAGAGACAGATGGCATCCAGGCCTCCCATGTAGGTGGTGGGGCCCCAGCATCTCGGCTGTCTTCTGCTTGCCAGGGTGCATCAGTGGGGTGATGGGCCTTGAATTCGCACCCCAGTAATGGGAGGCCAGCTTTGCATGTGGGGGCTTAACCCACTGCCCAGGACCCTGTTCCAGCCAGAACGTTTGGAGAGTGGTTCCTTTCTCCTTAGTCCAGGACTGAGTTGAGCGGGACCTGCTGGGAGGAGTGTTCACCTGTTACCATCATGAAACTACTGCAAACATGAGAGCCGGGGCAAGATACGCCTTGTCCTCTGGGCGTGTTCAGACTTCCGCTTCTCCCAGCCCTTTGCAGGGATAGCCAAGAGCAGTCCTGGCCAGCGCACCCCATCACCTCTGCTAGCTGACCCATCAGCTAGTATGTTGGGCTTCTCCAGAGGCGACAGATCCTTGCGAGTCCTGTTGCCATTTGAGAGGATGGCCACCCAAAGGCCATGCTCCTGCCGCAGCCCTAGTTCTCCTGGCAGCTCACCCCCTTGGTGCCCCCGCAGGTCACAAACCCCCCAAAGCTGCGGTGACAGTATCACCCTGACCTGGATAGCTGTAGCCCGATTCCTCCAGGCGTGGCCAAAGCTCCTGGCTTGGCAAGTGTGCCCTTCTGGCTGTGTCTGGGCACTTTCTGGCCAGACGTGTGACAGACAAGGTCAGGTTCAGCCCTGTGGCCACTGGAAAACCAGCCCAGGAGCCATGTGGAGGGCACCTCCCTAAGAACGGCCTTCCGCTGCCACCTACCAGGACATCCGTCCACCTGCATGGCTCCTCCAGGCCCTGTGTATGCAATGCAGGGTTCGTTAAGCCCACGCGGTGGCACGGAACAGACAGTTTAATAACCTTTGTGTGACGGACTGCTGATGTTCTCTGTGGCCAGCAGGTGCCCTCCCCCACCTGGCTGGAAGGCGGGGCACGCTCCCCTAAATCAGGAACGCACCTTGAGGCCATCCTGTGTCTTGGCAGGAGGGTGCGTCTCCCCAGGCAGCACTTCGGTTGTGGACGTCCGGGGTGTGCCATGGCACACCAAACTCCAACTTCAAGGAGGCTGGGTTTCCACTGTATTGGGAGGTGGAGTTAAGCAGGGCTTGGGGAAGGCGCTGCAGTAGAGAGAGGGATGTGAGGGGAGCCGCCCAGCCCCCATTCGTCCCCTCACCTGTGTGGAGACCCTGAGTCACCACCACTAACCCATGTGGAGTACTTAGCCCTGCAGGTGCAAGGCTCCTGCTCCTGGAGGTGGGGTGGGAAGGACAGAGCCCCCAAGCACTAGGGGACCCTGTGGGCATCCCACTACCCCCTTGACACACGCATTCCTGCTGTGGATGGCATGGCCACGGCTTTCACCCACAGTGTCCCACACACCCACCGCGTCAGCCAGCTTGACACACACCTGTCCTTGGTGGTCCTTCCTTACCCCCAGCATGGCAGGACTTCTTGGATCAAATCCCCAGACACCCTGCCCGGGGCAAGGGAGAAACGCAGCTAAGACCAGCTGGGTTTGTGGGTTTTAGAAGCAGAAGCCAACGGAAGCAACACAGTGCAGCCCACCCCTCTCTGGAAGTGTTCTGTCCCTCTGTTCCAACATTTTAAAATGAGCTGGCGAAGTAGAGATGTGAATCTGAACGGTAACCCTAGGCCGACAACAATGACCCCCGACGCCGTCCCTGCCCACAGCACGTGCTTATTTCCAGAATGTCCACTGGGTGGCGGCAGTGCTCCCTGTTTGGAGCAGCTGCTGTGCCTGTAAGAGAAGGGAGCAAACGGGGTGGGGGGGGGGGGGTTCTCTAGGGTGAATCCCTGACAGGAGTCACCGCCAGTCTGGGGCCAGGCACCATGGAGACCATCAAGGGGACTTACAGAGGGAGGGACAGATGTGAGAGTAAAATGTGAACGATGGAATTGAGGTAGGGAGAGGAGGGTATTGGTTGTTTTGTTTGTCAATAAACTAGTATTTGGAAGAGTTACATTTTCATAGACAGGTGTAGGTGTTTGTCATAATGGCTAGTGTGCCTGTTAGGATAGCTGCATGCCACAGCGTCTGCCTGTCTGGGCTTGAATCCCAGCTCCCCTCCTCAGTCCAGCTCCCTAACACGCCCTGGAGACGCAGCAGTTTATGGCTCAAGTGCTTGGGTCCCTGCCACTCACGTGGGAGACCCGGATGCAGTTCCTGGCTCCTGGCAGAAGCTGGCCCGGCCCTGGCAGTTGCAGCCACTAGGGGGTGAATCAGCAAATCGGGGTGCCCTTGCTCGCTCTGCTTCTCTGTCTCAATAAATTTCGGGAAAAGTTGCAAAGGTTACCACTTGTATGAGCATCTTAGGTTAGCACAGTGCACTTGGGGCCCTTCATAACCCCACGCGGGCGCATCATTACTGTTAAGGAAAACCCAGGCCCTAGTGAAATGGCCTTCGTTTTCCCCTTCGGCCCCTTTCTATCCCAGGGGACCACGTCATGTCGAGCAAAGCACCCTGGGGGTTCCCCAGGTTTCACTCGTTTGGGTGGCAGTCTGGAGAGGTGCTGGGCTCCACCTGTCTGATGCCTTCTCCAGGCCTGTCTTCATGCCTCACCTCAAGACCCCCTCTCTGCAGGGCCGTGACCTTGGCCTGGGCACCTGGCGGAAGCCACGCAGCTCAGGCTTCCTTGCTGCGTCCCCGATGTAGCTCTGCATCCCAGGAAGGGAGTGGCGGCACTGTGTTAGGGAGCAGGCATGCTGCCCCCGTCTGCCGCGGCCAGTTCTTTGGCGATTGGCATCTTCATCGTATGAATTAGAACACTCGCCGTCACCTGTGCTGGAACTGGCTTTTCAGTGAAGTGATTAGGGTTAGTGGAGTGGTGGGAATGAAGTGATCCAGAAGGGCACAGGGAGGAGCGTGTCCAGTATGCGTCACCGTGTCACTGGATGAACTACGGAAGACACCCGCACCAGAGGCAGCGTCTCGGGACCCAGCCGTGGGTGCCCAGCAGCGGCGACACCTGACCGTGGCGAGCACAGAACCTAGAGGAGTCCACCCTCAGGGTTGAACCTACATGGCCTCAACAGCCATTGCTGGGCCGGGCTGAAGCCAGGAGCTGCTTGTGCCTCTCCCACGAGGGGCCCCAGGGTCCAAGGACGTGGGCCATCCTCGGCTGCCTTCCCGGCTACACGAGCTTGACCTGGTCGTGAAGCAAAGCAGCCAGGTGCTCTGACATGGGATTTCATGGTCGCGGGCAGCAGATTACACCTCTAAGCCACAACGGCCGCCCCTGCCCTCAGCCTGTAACAGTAATGCAGCCAGCTGCCCAAAGACTGCAACTGGTCCTTCCCCGGCTTAGGGAATGGGCTCAGGAGTTCAAGTTTCTGCAACACAGTCAATATAGATTTCATTTCAAGCTGCTGGCAGGTGTCTTAGGAAGCCACGTCCCAAGCTGGAAGACCCCCATTCTCCAGCAGCTGCCAGCAGTGCCCCCTTACACCTGCTGGGTGAGCAGCCCATGCCCCCTGTGGGCAGGGGCACAAGCTCCTGGCCGCTACTGGAGGGCAGAGCTCAGCTCAGCTCTTGGGCTATGCCCAGGTCTGAGGAGAGGGGCAGGAGGCATCCAGGACCAGGGCTGGTCGTGGACATGGGCTTAGCTGCCAGGTCTCAGCATGCCCGGGTACTGGCGTGACCTTGGCCGACACAGCTCAGCTGACAACTGAGGCAGGCCTGGGACCCTGACCTGTGCAGCCAACCAGAAAAGGTGTGGGGCCCGCTGGGCCCCCCAGGGTGTCAGTCCCACATGCCTGTGGTGTCCGCTCCCCACCACACTCATGCCCCTCACCCCTACTCACCAGAGTGGCCCTGACGCATCTTCACTTCCAGCCATTTCCTGGGAGCTGGAGCTCAGCAGGACGTGTGTGTGTGGGGGGGTGCAGGACCTGGGATCATAGCCACTGGGTTATGGGCACTGGGTTAGCAGATGCCTCCCACCGGCAGTCCTTACTGCAAGCGGTGAGGGCTGCAGGGACCTTCCTAGTCTCCAGACTTCCACCTGGGCTGACCTGGTCTGCTGGGAGAACATTCCAGGGCTGCCTCTGAGGTGCCTGGCTGGAGGTCTGACTGACACACGCAGTCCTAATACGGGCTGCAGTCCCCCCACCCGCTGAACCACATGCAGGTAGACGTGAGCAGAGCTGGGGCACGAGGGGGTGTGTGCCCTGCAAGCCTGCTTCTTGGAGCACTGTCTCCTTGGGATGCAGTGCAGAGGGGAGAAGCAGCGCTCATTTGAAGAAGCCATCAGGGTTGCACCCTCAGTGCTGCCCTCCCTGTCTTCCATGACCCTGACCCACTACCCCCAACCCTGGGGCAGAGCCAAGCACCTCCTGCCATCGGCTGTGCTGGCAGCATCCTGCCACCTCCCCCAACCTGAGCACTGTAGCTGCTGTTGGAGCCACGACCGCTGGCACTGACCGGCCGCTGGGCAAGGGGCCGGGCACGCCTGTGTGTCAGAGCTGACAGGACAATAAAGCAAGTTGGTGAAGAGCGACCCTTCTCAGGGTCGTCTGCTAGGAGGAAGCTCTGGAATTGACCTCTGCCCCCAGCCAGGTCTTCCTTGTTGTGCTAGAAGAAAGTGAAGATAATAATAAAGCGGGAAGCCAGCGAAGCTGTGGGCAGAAGGAACCCGGATGGACTGAATCCCTGAGAGTTGCAAGGCTTCCGCAGGTGCACAGATGGCAAAGGCCATTTGCTCTGAAGGAGCATGCTTCCTCATGCAGGGGCTGCGGCATCTCAGCTGG